ATCCTTTCTGTGCTACAAAAAAAGTAGCCATCAGAAGCTTTTGGGAAATGAGCTTCATTATCAGTATGGACTGCAAGGAAAACATGAGAAAATAAAAACTTAGCTTTCAGAGTCCCCGTTTCTTTTTTAAAGATTTTATTTATTTATTCAACAGAGAGAAAGAGAGAGCAGAGCAGGGGACAGGAGGGAGGGCAAAAGAAGGACAAGCAGGCTCCCGCTGAGCAGGGAGCCTGATGCTGGGCTGAATCCCAGGACCCTGGGGTCATGACCTGAGCCAAAGGCAGACGCTTAACCTACTGAGCCACCCAGACACCCCCAGATTCCCCATTTTTATAGTGCCATAAAAGCCTAAAATAAAAATTGGGAACACATCAAGTTCGCCAAAGACAGGTAAATAGACGCAAAATAAGTGTTTAGGAAGTCACTTTCTATTAACAAAAGCAGCTTTTCATATTACCCTTTCTTGGTAATGCTGGCTATGGAGGACCCCAGCAAGTTAGCTTTTTTCCTAAGGCTAAAAAGAAACTCACCACCAAAGTTGAAATACAAGGAACCGGAAAAAATCAGTGATTTGTTCCCTGATGGCAACTTTATGCCGGAGACCAAGAGTTTCTTTACACTAAATCGTTTTCTTCATGTGGAAAACACTGATAGAAATCTAGGTGAATGGATATAATTAAGTATTTGTGTGGTTCCAACTCTAAACTGCTTTTTTTTTTTCTTTTCCTTCTTCAAACACCTCCACAACTTGCCCAGTAACCAGAAGAGAGGAACAGCCTTCTAAGAGTGAGGCCCTCAAGACATTTCCAGCTGCCTGGACAAAGGCTTGGAATGACTACAATAGTGAACCATCCTGCCTTGGACCTGAATCTAGATTGATGACCTAATACATCTTTTCCAACTCTGACTGCCATGGTTTTATGAGCATCAAGAACTGGGCGTCTGCCACCGTCAACAAGTACAGATTTTTCAGAGCTCGAACGTCCGCAGAAACTTAAGTGTCCCCCAAAGAACAGAGATCACACAGTGTCCCAGGGCTCTGGGGTGCTGCCTCTAGCTTTGACGCGTGACACCGGAACTCCTCTTTGGCAGGGTAATTCTTAAAGGAGAGGAAGTGTGCCCGTAACTCTCCCCTGTTATCTTGGTTGACGAACTCTGAGTCAGAGCGGGGCAGATCTCTGGGAAGATAATTAAGCTTAGTTTAAGGCCCTGTCCTTTTCAGGGGCCCCTTCAGAATGCTGTACCTAATTTTGTACTTGTAATTTTGCATTCTTTGCAAGGAACAGGCCCCTCAATTGTATAAGTGGTAGTTCCCCTGCCACCACCACTGCCACTGTAGGAATTGGCCCCGGAGCTAGGTGACTTGCACCAAATCTTAGCTTGGTGAAAGTGCAAAAATTAAACACAAACTCTTCTTCATTTTTATGACACTCCCCCCACCCCACCTCGGGCAAGTCGCAGTTAAAGAGGAGACATCTTTAGCTCCAGTCCTCAGAAGGCCTGTCAACGACACCAGTGGTTCAAAAACTGGCTGCGTTTTTAATTTATCCTCCTTAGATCCTCTTTAAAAGAACATTTCGTTGTGGGCTAATTATTACAAAGGCTTGTAGACTGTAAAGGCAGAAGAATTTCCATGAGTGACCTCCCTTTGGTGAAGCGGCATCCCCGTTCCAATTTCAGCTAAGTATTGTTTTCCAGTAAAGTTAATGGGTTTGGACTAGCCTTCTACACTTTTGTAACAGGGCTCTCAAGGGACCAAGCTACAGCAACATTTATTTTTTCTGATTACAAAAGTAATGGCATATCTATATAAATATATATACACACATATATAAATAGCTTGAAACATTATAGCATAGCATTGAAAGTGAAAATCTTCCATAATCCCACACAGCTGAGAAAACCAGTTAACATTTTTTTTCAAGGCATATATTAAAAATTTCATTTATTATTTTACAAAAAATGGGATTATAGTTCAGCTTTGAAGCATGCTGTTTTCCACCTAGCAATATGTCTCAGACATCTTTCTATGCCAGTCTGAAAAAAAAGTGAGCTTCTTTTTAATCTTCTTTTTAATGGCTCCACGGTATGGTCCTGTATGGCCAAACCATACTATCTCTAACCAATTGCCTGTTAATGCACACTTGGGTTCTTTCCAGTTTTCCCTGTACCAAATATTCTTGCAAACATCATTTTACTCTTACATCTTTGAGCCGTTGTACGAGTATTTCTCTATGATGAATTCCCAGAAGGTGAATTATTATTGGGTCAAAGTGTATGAGCATTTCATTTTTAATAGCTATTGCCAAATTGCCCTTCAATAATTTTATACCGATTTACACCTTCACCCACACTGTGAGAAGGAGCCTGTTTCCCTACCCCACCCCTTAGCAACACTAAAACCATGCAATTTAGGGATGTCTGATGTGAGTTAGAAGTTAAGAGGTTCAGCCTGTGGAGTTTTTTTTTGCCTTTGTGAAAAGCTAACAAAGACATCAAAAGTCTCCCCCTTTCCCTGATGAACCCCCTGCTCTGAGTGAGCCGATACCCAGACACATATCCAGCTAATGTGAGAGGTAAAAATGCTAATACCTAATGCTTATTTTTTGGCTGGATTTTAGCTGTTTTGTTTTTAGCTGGATTTTTCAGAGATAATTTGTTGTTGAGTGCATAAACAAATGTGTTATAGAATACTTAATAACTTAATTATTTAGGAAATGGATATCGGTCCTGACCTCAGCACTGCAGTTTTAACGTAAGCAACATATTTAATCTTAGAGCGCCAGTATGTTTACATCTGAAACATTCCTTGATTTCATCTTTATGTTTATTGGTGCAGAGCAATTTGAAAAAGCTATTCTTTAAAGACATGGGAAAGGGGCTTAGTCGGCCCTATGAAAGAAGAGCAAGGTTTGCCAATATCCAGGTTCCAAGAACTTGTTTTGGAGATTACTGTGGTTTACATCCCCAGAATTAGGATCACTGGGCATTAGAGTGGGGTTGGGGGGAGGGACTTTAGGGGTTGTCCAGTCAAAAGATTTTGAAACCCTGCTCCGCAAAGCCTGGGGGTTGCTTCAGGGAAACAGAAGAGGCTGGTGGAAGAGGAAAGCAGATGACGGTTAAAGGTTCATGGTATTCCAATCCTAGTAGCACCACAAGTGCCCTGCTTTGATCAACGTCATGTGGTGGGTTGTATATTATGTCATCTGGAGCAAGTTGATCTCTTATTTTCCTCTTCTGTAAAACAGACACAATAACAGTGCCTATTTAAGAGTAGTGAAGATTAAATTAAGTAATACTATATACATGCAGCACTTAGCCCTGTGGCCGGCACATGCCAAGGACCCAATAAATGTTTATTAATCTATTAGTTAAGATTTTCCTTTGAAAAAGGATTCTGTTGCTTACCTCTCAAAACCACCCATTTACTTTTGCATCTATACAATAAGGCGATTTGTTTCAGATGGAGTGGTTTTAGATTTGATTGATTTCCTGCTTCTCAATCCAATGATCTTACCCTCAGATCCCAGGACACGTCCACTTTGCTGGAGATGCTGGGGGCTCTGAGGATAACTGGCCTCCAACACACCAGGTGGCGCTACTTGCCACCCAGGTGGCCAAAATCACGGCTCCTCTATCTGCCTTGCTCTTTCTTGGTTTGTGAAAGAAATAGGACCCTGTGAAAAAAAGTTTTCTTTGCCCTTTGAGCGAAGTTGTCTATGGGGTTCAGCCTGAGAATCAAACATGAAAGTTGCAAACTCTTAGACAGCTTTCCTAGGGGCCATCTTTTCCATGATTAGGAGGACAGTTGAAAGGAGTTCAGAAATGGGCCCTCAAACCTTCTAAAACTGACTGCATTTTCTATTCTTGGCCAGACACTTTTAAAAGGAAGAACTCATCCAACAAACATACACCCTTATCAATCCTTTTTTAAGGAAAGCTTGTCTTTGTGTAGGGGAAGTTTTCAAGTTCTCCTAATGAATCACAGACATGAGGTGGGACGGGAAGAACTTTAAGCATTTTCCTTTTTGAATATGTCTAACATGAGACCAAAAACCAGGGAGCGAGGAGCAAACCCTTCTGAACTGTGCATCTCTTCTACCCAAGAACTCCTTCCATGCCAGTCACTGCTGCCGTCTGAGAGCCAGACATGGGCTGGGGGAGGGGTCTCTCTGTGTCAGGGCCATTCAGGGTCTGTGGTAGACTTAGCAGCAAGTAGAGGTAAAAGCTGTAGAATGAAGAGTTGAAAACATTGTTTAATGAAACCCCTCCCACCAGACGCTCTTGATCAAAGTCTATCCTTGCACTAAGACAATTGATCTACAGTTGCATACATAAAATTCTGGCAACACTCTGTCCTCATGGCTTTCAACAGAGGCTTTAGACCTCTGAGACTGGGCATTGTCCCAGAATTGAGATCCAGTTGCATTACGCATACCAGAAGACACACCACCACAGCCGAGGCCCGTGCAACCACTTTCTTTTAACCTCGCGTCTGTGAAAAATTACTTTCCAAAAAAATAAGTGAAACCCGATGTCTTCTCCGGGTGGTTATTCTTGCGCCTATGAAGTCAATAAAACTCTCCAGATTTATTAGACAGCCCTGCTGTGGAAGACAAGACCACTTCCTATTCCCTAGCAGAAACGTGTGCCTTCCTCTCTGTAACCTTCTGACCACAGATTTTCATTTTGCTCGTTTCTTTTCTTTTTCTCAGAAAACTGGTCAGAATCCTATAAGATAAGTGGCTTGGCCTGCACTAACATCCCCATTTCTGGCCTCCAGGAGGGACAAAATGAGCACAGTCAGGCTCTTCTACCTTTTCTTGATTACCTCCCATTTTCAAGTGGGCCTTTTTTCTTCAGGCCAGAAGTAGCAGAGTTTGGATGTCTCTCCTGCCACCACGCTAAGCATGAAAAGCAGAACCTACCAACAAATTATACTCCTGTGAGAGCCCACTAACCAGGGGGTGATGACCATGAAGATGACAATTCAGTTCTATTTAATACAACAGTATTTATTGAGCTCCTACTATATATGCCGGGGCTTCCCTGGATATGAAGATGCAAAGATATGGAGGATGATGTTGCCTTCTTTCAAGGGGGAAGTCAACACTTACTGAGTGAAACTCTGAGTGGGACAGATTCGGAAATAAACAGAATGTTGTGGGATACAAAAACTAGAACACAGAAAGATTTCTAGAGAGGATGATTCTCGGACTCTGTGTTTAAAGATGATTAGGAGGTTATCAGATGAACCTGGAGAAGGGCAGCCCCAGCAGAGGGACCAGCAAGCACAGAGAATCAGAGGTGTGGAATAACACAGATTTGGGACCTAAGAAGTTGTGTGCATTGAATGAAGGCCAAAAGGTTGTAAGTAACCTGTGCTCTTACATGAATGTGGGTATATTTTTTGGTGATGGGGATCTACTGGATGGGTTAGAGGCTTGGAGAACTTGTGGTAGCATGAGCAACGAGGTGGGGGACAAGTGGTCGAGTGCTATCTTGGGAGGCGTGAAGACAACCTAAACCTGGCCAGTGTGGTCAAAATGCAGTCAAATGCTCTGCCACTGAGCTATACCCCCATAGTGTGGTCAAAATGAAGAGGGTGATTCAGAGCGAGAGCAAAGAGAAGACATGGAAAGGAGGTGGAGTTACAAAGATTCTCACCCCAGAAAGACTTCTATGCAGTTGCATTCCATTATTTAAGAGTGCAAATTACCTCCCAAATGCTTTTAATTGTAAGTTATTGACTCACTAGTTCTTTTTATTCCTACCCATTTCTGGAAATGGTCTGCGGAAGGAACCGATTCTGTACCTAGAGTCAGGTCCATCCGGAGTGACTGTGGGGACCTTGGCCAATCTACGAGCTGCTGGAGAGCATTTGTAGAACATTATCCCTGGTTCAGACACTCTGCATATCATGGAAAGATATTTATACCAGTGGAATCTTCACTAGTTTCAGTTTTGATTATCCTCGTGTTAATGTCCCATATATCTTAACTGGCATTTCCTTGGATGATAACTTCTAGTTCACTTACTTATATTTTCAGGCGTTAAGAAAGAAAGGCGCTCTTGCCTACATCACTCATCTGACAAAGGTAAATGAAGTGTGGCATCTGGGGAATCAGAGAATTCTTCGTTTGTTCCCCATGAACTTGGGCAAGGGGCCTAAGCTTACTTTCTCCAATTGCATAATGGAACGACATCAATATCTACCTCATAGTTTTGGTGTAAGAATAACTGAGCTAATGACGAAAAAGGACTTGGCACTTAGAAAGTGATAACTTCATAGTATTCTCTAAGTATCATACATCAGGCTGATTGCTAGACGGTAGTGTCTCATAGCAGTCTTCAAGTTTTTTCAAAAAAGATCATTTAAGCTCCTTTTTTTTTTTTTTTTGAGGGCAGGGTTTATTTATCATTATATTCCCATTCCCCATAATAGGGTCTGCCTCAAAGCACATAAAGTGTCTTGCTAGGAAGGATTAAATAATAATTTGTTCAAAGTCAAACATCTAGAAAATAACATGATCAGGACTCAGATCTGTGTCTGCCTGTTTCTGAGCCCAGTGCTCAGAAGATGCATCTCCCAAGTTTGTTGTTTTTTCTTTTTTCCCCAAAAGAAAATGTTGTGGAAGCAGAATGAAGTGCTATTCCGTGTTTTCTTTTACTACTAGCTTTCGAATTATTTAATTATCGTAAGCGGGTGTTCTCAGTATAAGTAGTTTCCGTCCCCATGATTTAAAGGTCATTTTCAGAGTGTTTCTACGTGGGTCAAGCTCTTGGCTGATCATCTTCCTCCTTGAGCCTCAGTTCCAGTTTTTAATGCTTTCTTGGTGAGGTTCACCTATTAGAGTCCTCTATTTTTTTTTTTAAACACATAAAACTTTATTGAGTGTTGAAAATCTCATATGAAATCAGAGTCCTCTGAAGGCATTTCAGCTTTAATAGCTCCAAGCTCCTCCTCATCAACCAGCCCCCCACCTCTCCCTTCTCCCACCTACCCTCCGAAAGCCCCGCGTCCCCCTAGATCCTGATAGATGGCATTTTTTATCCACACAGACACATTAAAGATTTTGCGTTCAGTCTTCACTCTTCCCATTTTCCTTATTGAACTGGTCACCATGCGTTATTGTTTCTCCCTCAAACAAAAATGGTGTTCAAATCTGGCTTTTCCTTTTCGTCCCAGCTGCTACTCTCAATCAGTGTTTCACCATCCTTGGCCTGAGGAATTTGGAGCGCTTCCGAATTGGCCTTCTTACCTTCAGCCCCTTCCCTCACCAGCCTTTTGAAGGCAAAATTATCTTCCTATGACGCAGAGCAGATCAGACACTCTCCTGATCTAAGACCTCTGGCCGTGCTCCTTCACCTTCGGTGTCCAAGTCTCTGCTCCCTCCTCTGTAACTGTGTATTTAAAACCAAGCCCAGTCAGATTTTCCTGCCACTCTTCGCATGTGTCGTTGGCTTTAGCTGGACTGTACCACTCCTGATTCTCCCAAACACCCAACACACTTTAGTAGGACTTTGTGCCTCTCTTCCAGGTGCTTCTTCTGCCTGTAATGACCTTTTCCTCCTTTTTGCCCTTAGAAATTCCTGCTTATTCCACAAGGCTCAACCAACATCACATACCAGGTGAGGCCCCCTCCACCTCTCTGTGGGACTCAAAGAAAATTCATGGCTCCCCTTCTGCTTGTATCATAGCACTCCCATCACTTCTATTTTAGAAGTTTATTTAGTTCTTTAGTGTCAATGGTCCATGGAGTCTCAAGGTCAAGGGCTACTTAATTCATTGATATAACTGCAATCCCAACACAAAGATAGTTCCTTTCTTTTCTTTTCCTTTCTTTTCTTTTCTTTTCTTTTTTTTTCTTTTCTTTTCTTTTTTTCTCTTTCTTTCTTTTCTTAAAGATTTATTTATTTGGAGGCACCTGGGTGGCTCAGTCACTTAAGTATCTGCCTTCGGCTTAGGTCATGATCCCAGGGTCCTGGGATGGAGCCCTTTCAAGCTCCCTGCTCAGTGGGGGGCTCTGCTTCTCCCTCTTCCCCTGCCCCTGCACCTGCTATCTCTCTCTCACACACATGCTCATGCATGTGAGCTTTCTCTCTCTGATAAATAAATAAAATCTTAAATCTTCTAAAGAAAGATGTATTTATTTATTAGAGAGAGACAGAGAGTGCGCGTGTGTGGGGCAGGGAGGGATAGAGGCAGAGAATCTTCAAGCGGACTCTCCGCTCAGTGTGGAGCCCACTATGGCGCTCGATCTCACCACCCATGAGATCATGACCTGAACAGAGATCAAGATTCTGATACTTAACCAACTGAGCCACCCAGGCTCCCCCAGTTTTTTTCTACTTAAGGAACAAGAACACGTGACTTTTTTGAAAAATAAGTGGGCAACATTAAAGCAGTAGAAGAGAGATAAATCATGTAGAAGTTACAACAACACTGGATGTTGGGGAATTATGGTCTAGCCCGTAGCCAATCCTGAACAAATGTGAGTTAATCTATAGACAAATCTGTTTTTGGTTTTGGGTTTTTGTTTTTGTTTTTTTTTTTGGTTTTGTTTTGTTTTTGAGGTTCTCTATTCTTTTTATTAGGTATTTCTTAAATTTTAGCTCCAGTATAGTTAACATATAAAGTTATATTAGTTTCAGGTGCATGACAGAGTGACGCACGCTTCTGTACATTACTCCGTGCTCACCATGATAAGTGTATGAACTGATGTATTTTACAAGTACTTGATGTCACCCTGGGCACAATCTTGTTTAATAACAAAGGTAAAGAATAGCTGTGAAAGAGCAGATTGGTCTCAGGACCATGTGGAACTAGAGATCCATTAAACTTAGATGACCCCTACCAGTGGAATTTCTTAGGCCTTGATGCTTTCTCACTCTGCCTGGGGTCACCCTCACCACGGAGATGTTTTCAAACCCCGCTTGGAGTTCTGTCTATGCCTTTGTTTAAAAAGTGATTTCCAAGCCGCCAGAGGACCAACCTTTTCTTGCAGTTGGGCAAGGCTGTTATCTCTGGAACTTCTGCCCTTGTTTCTGTCTTTAGGTGTGAGCTTTGGAGGGGAGTTTTCATTTTGCTATTGCCAGAGCAAACACTAACGGAAATGACTGTAATACTAACACATCAATGCCCCTACTTAATGCGGTTTACAGATATCTCCTGAAGGTACTCCATGGTGCATAGAACCTGTTTCAAAGAAAGTCAGCTCTCACTGGAGGGAAAGTCAGGGGCTCTAGATCCTAGTTCTGACCCTGCCACTAGATCGCTTGCGTGACCTGTGGGTGTGGGTGAGTCACTCCAACACCAGTCCTCTCCTCCGTCTCAGGAGTGGGAAGGGTTGCAAATTTGGAGCACCTAGGCCAGATGGGAACCGCAAAAGCATGCTGTTTACCCCTTACAGTGTTTGAATGAGGTGACACTTTCATTGGAAGATTTTATATAAGGACACAGGGTTTTATTTTCTCTTAAGAAATCAGAAGATCTCGCTACACGGGTCCCATATTTCTACTCAATTTGTAGTAGCTGCCCCCTTTAACAGAGCATGGGCTCTCCTGGGTCCCAATGACCTTATCAAGTTCATTTGCCCTTTCGTCTGTCCTACACAGAGGTAAAAATACCAGTTGCTATTTGTCATTGTGTTTGTACTCAAGGGTGATATTGAAAATATTTCACTACTAAGGCCTGGGGACTGACCTATCAGAATGGACACCTTTGTGCTAGAATGACATCCTGGGGGTGACTTGCTCTCCCCAGCTTCTGGATCATGGGGAGATCTGAGAGTTCCTGGAGAAAAGGCAGATGCCCAGCGATGGGCATCCCTCAGTGGCCGGAGAGCACCCCGAGACCTCAATCGGTAAGGACGGTCGTAGCCTCAGGTGCACAGCAACTAAACATCAGCTCTGCTCGGACGGTGTGTTTCCTCCCAGTAGAGAGACCTATTCCTGCACCCATGTCTCTTACTGCAAACAAGAAAATGAATGAAAACCAGAGAGAGAAGGCAGAACGATTGTTGTTCCCCTCGGTTGCTCTGCTCATTGACCCACTGGAGACTATGGCCTCTGAGTCGGAGCTCCCGGTCCTAACCAATCTGTAAACCCTTTTCCAGCCTAAGCATAAGGAGCCTCTAATTTTATCCATTTCATAAATGGAGTGAAAATTTTGCAAATCATCTTGGAGAATTTTGCAAATCACTGTACGGAATTTATATAAGGGCTAAAACACTGTGTGAAATAATAAATCACCAATAAATTATCTCCATTTTATTATCGGGTTTTTCAATTTTAAAAGCACTCTGATGTTCTTTTTTTTTTTTCTTTTTTAATTTAGCTATGGCTATTTTTCAAATGGAATTAATGACCAAAAGCTAGCCTCATTCTCTAATTACAGTAAGAGACACTAGACAGGAGTTGTTCCAGACACTGACCCATCTTGGCTCAGGGAGAAGCTCTGGGCAGTTTTCCTATGAGCTGGCTTAGTACCTGGGGCCAGGAAACATCTGTTTTAACATGGAGTCCAGCGGGTGCTCTGTTTAATTATAAAATGGCCTTGCAGTGTCCCTCTGAGTTGGCTGACCTTAGCTTCTCATGCTATACTACCAAGAAAAATGAAATTCTCTATATTCCATTAACCGAATGTCCAATCCCAGTGTTGAAATGCCTGGAGGAGAGGGAAAAAGTTAGACCTTTGCCCTCTGGGAAGGTGTGGGGAAAGACAAAACAAAGAAACGCTTCCTACAAGTAACTGAGAAGCTTAGATAGGCCTGGGTGTCACTTGTATAGGGAAAGGGGGAGCTGATTCAGGAATGACTCACACTTGGAGAATGAGCTGTTTATATAATACTTCCTCCTCTTCACTCCAGGGATCCTGTTTGGAAGGTCAGGGACAATGACAATGGAGAAGCAAAGAGAAAACTGGAGAAGAGTGGAGGAATGCTGGAACATGGAAAGACTCACTCACCTTCAAGAAAAGGACACACATTGGTGTGATGAGTTCATGTAATCAGTTATGGCCCAGGACTTAGAGTTTATTCTTAGAACACGTACGCTTGGGATTTCTTCATGATGGCGTGAATCTGTTATTTAACTATTATGAGAACTTACCTTCCCAAATCTTCTTCTATGCTAATGGGAAAAGAGAGCCCATTGTCAGCAGCGTCTGCTTAGGAATATCTTTTGTCTTGGAGCTTGTTGTAATCACTTCCAGACCGGTGGTATATTTATGATTTACATAATGTTACAAAGGAAGAAGTCTTAAGGATTTTTCTTTCTCTAAATCTTTGTGAATTATTATTTTAGACTCATTGCCAGATTTTTGTTAAAGGGGAAGTTGATGAACTTTTAAACATGTCATTACATGCCCCGAAATAGCAACTCTTTGTTCTTGCAAAGATTTTTGTGGGAATTTAAAGGACTGTGTGTGTATGTGTGTATGTGTGTGCATATGTGTGTGTGCATGTGTTTAGAAACAGGTAGAAAAGGAAATGAGCAAAAAAGAACACTTGAGGTTCACTGATAAAGTTAAATACATATTTTGTTTTTCTGTTAGAACAAAAGTTGGCAGATTTGGGGGAATCTACCTAACATTTGGTGTGGGTTTAGGAAGCGTGGCTCTACACTCATTTCCAATCATGTTTCAATAATTAGGGGTAGCAACAGAAGGGTTAAGCCCTAAAGCAAGGAAATATCTCTAAGTCAGAAAACAAAAGGAAACTTGCATATTTCTGAAGATGACATCGGATCGGCCTGTGAATTTCAAGCAATTACGCGATATTATGATTCCCACTGAGTACGCATTAGTTGGAATACTGATCTTTTTATTTCTCCATGTCCCGGGGTTGTACACTGAAAGAGCCCTGTTCAACTTTGCATGTCAGAATTTTGAAGGAAAAATTATAGTAAAATATGTTTAAAACAGTGGGGCCTTATGTGAGTGAACACAACATTTCCCAAGGCTTTCAAAAATCCTTTTGTTAAAAATATGGTTTTTATTTTGTTTCTTTTTTTTCTTTCTTTCTTCAATTTTTTTTTTTTCCTTTTACTCAAGCTTTTACCTCCCCTCCTTCCTGGAGGAAAGAAGAAACAAGTTTCAAAGGATATACATAACACAGCCTACATCTAGGGCCTGGGGACTTACAATTGGTTTGTTTTAAAATGAGACACCCCACATGGAAAATAAACAAGTGAGAAAAGTTCATCTGTGTATATAACTTCAGTTCCAACAACTATGGTGACAGTCACAGTGTCTGAGTAAGTGTCCCCTAGAGTCATCTTATGAGCAAAATGATTATTAATTGAGGTTTCTGTGAGTCTAAAGACGGTTGTTCACAAAGGGTAGGAATTTTGCTAGCATGAGGAACTGAAGACAGAGCCCCTGGGTTGTTCTAATCAAATTGAATTAATTAAAAACAAAACAAAACAAAAAACAGGCACAGTGAGGTGCCAGGAATGATGATGAACGAATGTCCAATTCATTTCATCCTGTGATAGCCTTTCTTCCAAAGAAGAGAAGTAATTGGTTTGATCAGTTAGGAATTGCATTTAGCTGTCAGTGATAGACACTTAACGTCAATGGGTTATTTTGAACAGAAAAGAAATCCTACCTCTGGCTATCTGGGGCTCATACGGGGACTCTTCAAAGTCATCGGGGACCCAGGCTCTTTCTAGATCTCTGTTCTTCCCTCCTTAGGCCATGACGTCCTTCTAGTCACTAAATGTTCTCTCCAAGCATGAAAGAGGAAAGGGGAGGGCAAAAGGGATGCCCTCTTAGCTTAGTTAACTCCTTTAGGGAGCTTCCCCTGAAATGCCTCAAAATAATTTCACTTATAATTTATTAGCCCTACTTTTGTCACAGGGTCACACCCAGCTGCAAGGGAGCCTGGAAGATGTGGTCTCTTAGGAGGAAAAAAATCCCGGCCCCAAATGAACTCAGGGTTCTGTAACTAGTAATAAGGGAAGGTCAGGTATTGGGTGGGAAATTAGAAGTCTCTGTCATACTCCTATAAAACATCTGTAATGCCAATGCATTGTCCAAGGCTTATGGATTGCTTCTGTTTGAATCATGCGGTATTTAAGGCACTAGTTTAATGACACAGTTTTGTATTGCATTGTCTCAAAGCATATGCCCAAAATAAATACTTTTGCCCATCATTGATCCTTTCCTCCACTATTTGCATAGTTTAATCTTGGAAGTGTTTGTGTTCATAACTAACGAGCAGAAAATTCCATATCCTCTTGAAACTCCAAATTAGGCAAGTGCCATTTCTTGTCCAGAAGTTATATTTATAAATGGTTATATATTCCGCAATCTTTTCCTTTTCCACACTGCGGTTGGAGCTTAAACTTCCTTCATTGTTAAAAAAAAAAGTGGACATTTTAGAAAACCTGTGGGTTCATAATTAGAGAAAAAAGAGAAACTTACACAGAGTATAAAGTATGTAGAGTGCATAGAGTAGGGCCAACTTTCGAGCCCCTCCCCCTGCCGGAGTGACCACTTGGACTTCACTTGAATTTCTTCACTTTCCTCACTTATGCTGCTTAAAATTCCACCAATTAAAGATTCACTTCCGTTCTCAGCCATCCCTTCTAAAAGGTCACTTTTTTTTTTTTTAAGATGTGAAGTTATGAGTTAAGCAGAAATCAGTGCAATAACTTTAATCGGATTGCTTTCCTACTGGCTAGGATACAGTCGCACTGAACGGGAAGTATGTATTTTTCTCCTCACTTCATTGCAGAAAGAAACATACTCATGGCAAACAATTCAATGTGAGCAAAAAGAGGTACTGTGTAAATAAGTCTCTATTCCCCACTCCCCCCACCCTCTCTACCCTCTTACCCCCAAATCCAAGATCCTTTCCCTTCCTGATGCCAACAGTGAGGAGACATTTCTTACGGGTATTATCCAGAGATATATGTAGGTATTAACACACATACACATAGTGTCAAAGTATAAAAATCATTTTGTTCTAACCAAATAGTCATATATCGTGTGCATTATTTGGTGCCTTTTTAAAAAAAGTTAAAGTATCATTGAAGAATTTAAAAAAATAAGCACATACACCTGCTACATTAGAGAAAGAAAAAGTCCTTGTTAAACAGGAGTTTTAGTGTGTGTGTGGGGGGAATTTCTATATTTTTGCAGTGGAGATATTTCACTTCAATATATTTTTAAAAGATTTTATTTATTTATTTGGGAGAGAGTGCGAGAGAAAGAGAGCATAAGCAGGAAGAGAAGCAGAGGGAGAAGGAGAAGCAGATTCCCCGTTGAGCTGGGAGCCCGATGTGGGGCTCGATCCCAGGACTCTGGGGTCCTGACCCAAGCAGAAGACAGACACTTAACTGACTGAGCCACCAGGTGTCCCCACTTCAATATTTTCTTGTGAGGACAGCAGTGACCTGGAGTCTGTGAAGGAAAACCTTAAGGAAATTGTGGAGGGTCGACCTGGGGCTCTAATGCCCATGCAGGACATTGGTCCTGCAGAAGGTAATGTTCCAAGTCCCTAACAACTAAGTTGACAACGCATCCAGATTTCTGTAAGAACAGCCCCCACTTACGCCAGTTGTCTTGGCAGAGTTTCTAAGAGCTCCCTCTTTTATTCTTGAAATGGTCCCAGTTTGGATGACAAGTTATGTGATCACCTCAGTAATTGCTAACTGACAAATTAACAAGTTAGGATCAGCTGCAAAGTTGAAAAAAGCAGTCTAAACTCCTAGACAGTGAGGGTTTGACTGGTTGGGACCCTGGTGCAGTAACTTATGAGCCATATGACCTGGGTAAATTATTTAGCTACTACTTATCTCAGTTTCCTTAGCTGTCTAAAGGGAAGACTAGCTGCCTCCAGGTGGTATTATAAACATTTGATTAAGTAATACACGTGAGAAGCTCATCCCAATGGCTGGTTCATATGTAGGACTCCACGTGCATAGTTGTTTCTATTACTTATTATTTTCACCATGCCCCCCCCCACAACTTCATCCTTACACTGTATAAAATTCCACTGATTGAGATTCATTTAGGTCAACTGTCATCATATTCTATAAATGGATAATGGTATAGCCATTCATGAAGAAAAATTAGGTGAGTCAATTGGAGGGATCCACCATCCTCACCCACCCCCAGCCCTTACAGAAGAGAGGATCAGAGTGTAGTTTGAAAATACAGCAGCTTGACAAATTCTTTATAGAATTTTGGATACCAGCCCTTTATCTGACTCAACACCCAAAGAACAAAGAATCCAATCAAGAAATGGGCAGAAGACATGAACAGACATTTCAGCAAAGAAGACATTCAGGGGGTAAACAGACACATGAAAAAGGGCTCCACATCACTCGGTATCATGGAAATACGAATCAAAACCACAGTGAGATACCACCTCACACCAGTCAGAATGGCTAAAATTAACAAGTCAGGGAACAACAGGTGTTGGCCATGATGCAGAGAAAGGGGAACCCTCCTACACTGTTGGTGGGAATGCAAGCTGGTGCAGCCACTCTGGAAAACAGTATGTATATTCCTCAAAAAGTTGAAAATAGAGCTACCCTATGACCCAGCAATTGCACTACTGGGTATTTACTCCAAAGATACAAATGCAGGGATCTGAAGGGGCATGTGGACCCAAATGTTTATAGCAGCAATGTCCACAATAGCCAAACTATGGAAAGAGCCTAGATGGTCATCAACAGATGAATGGATAAAGAAGATATCTATAATGGAATACTATGCAGCCCCCAAATCTTGCCATTTGCAATGACGTGGATGGAACTAGAGGCTATTATGCTAAGCGAAATAAGTTAATCAGAGAAAAATATTTATCAGATGATCTCACTGATACGAGGAGTTTGAGAAACAAGACAGAGGATCATAGGGGAAGGGAGGGAAAAATGAAACAAGATGAAACCGGAGAGGGAGACCAAGCATAAGAGACTCTTAATCTCAGGAAACAAACTGAGGGTTGCTGGAGGGGAGGGGGGTGGGAAGAAAGGGGTGGCTGGGTGATGGACATTGGGGAGGGTATATGCTATGGTGAGTGCTGTGAACTGTGTAAGACTGATGATTCACAGACCTGTACCCCTGAAACAAATAATACATTATATGTTAATTTAAAAAAAAGAAAAAGAAAATACAGTAGCACTTTGCACATCTGAATTGTTTCAATTCTGGCTTTGATATGAACATTTAAAAAATGTCAACAACACTAGAGAAGAATGCAAGTGTGTCATCTAGCAAAGGTGAAATACATTTGATATGCCAGAGAGATACTTTCTTTCCCCTTTTTTTTTTTTTAAGAGAGGGAGGGAGGTAAGGGTGGCGTGGAGGGGCAGAGGGAGAGGAAGAGAGAGAATCTTGAGCTGTTCCACAACCAGTGTGGAGACTGACCTCACCACTGACCTCACCACCATTCTTCTGAGTGGAAATTAAGAGTCACGGGACGTTTGCCAGGCACCCCCTGGAGAGACACTCTCATGGCAGCCGTTTTTACTATACAAGCAGAGTGTATTAATCTACAGATAATGGAACTACTTCAAAAAGTGTTTCAGGAAAACTTATAACCAATCATATCTCAGTATGTCCTACCATTGTGTGTAACTTTCCATACATTTATTATTTTCCCAAAGAGTGCACCTTAATGGCTCTCCCTCTGGCAGAAGCCACATCGCAAATAATGAATGACAACTGTTCTCACACCTGGGGACTTCTGAGGTCTTTTAGGGAAGGATAAAGGAATCTGGCCTCAGAGTAGGAGTGGAAGGGGAGGACAGAGTGATTGAAAGAGCAAAAGCAGGTATTTTCCCTTCATATTCATTTTCTTAAAATTGAATTAGGTTTCTGTGAAAAGCCGTTTTGTAGAATAACAACCTCTTTATGGTTTCACCAGCTGAGACATAAAAGGCCATTTGTGGTGTGCTGTAAGTTCTGA